GGGTGCTTCCCCGGGGGCCCGGGGCTGCAGAGCCAGCGGGGGCTGGAGGAAGGGGGCGGAGGCCCCCAGAAAGGGGCCGGGCCGCTGGGGAAGAGGCGGCGGGAAAGCCGGCGAGGGCAGCGGCGGTGGCGGACAGCCGAAAGGAGCGGGAGGCGGCGGCTGCGCAGGCGGCGGGCCCGGGCGACCCGGGGCGAAGAAGGGCGGCAGAGCCATGGCCACGACAGAGGGATTCTGTGAAGTGACAGGAATCTGGGTAGTTCCCCAAGAAAGAATGTCTTCCGGGAGGAAGTGACGTAGTACGACGCCCAACGCCGGTAGGTCGCGCCGAGCCCGGCGCAGGGATGGGATTCATTGACTCCTTCGATTCGTGAATACTGTTCTGAGCGTTCCAGGTCCGGACCTAGCTGCTTTGCAAACAATGAGACCAACGGATAACAGTTCCTGTCCTCGTGGAACTACCTGTCTAGTAGACACATTAATCAAGTAATCATCCAAACAAATGTAAAAGTGCAACAGTGAATATTTAAATACTACCAAGGAGGAAAACACCGGGCAAGAAGAGCTTATAGGACAATTTGACTTACTCAAAGAGGTTGGGGAAAGTTGTCTTAAGGATTTGAGGCTTCGTTTAAGGTCTGAATTATAAGCAGGAGTTCAATAGAAGAAGAAGAGAGGGAAGCACAATTCAGATGGGAACAGCATTTGCAAAAGCTCCCTAGTAGATAGGAGTAAGGGGAACTGAAAGTGCCAGTGTGGGTGGAGCACAAAAAGCCTGAAGGGAGCCTGGTGATCCTGGGAGGTGGACAGAGGTCAGAGCGTCCGGGGTCTCTATCTTAAGAACAATGGGAAGCCACTGGAGGGTTTTAAGCAGGAGGGGAAAAGAAGGCCATGCCACATGATTAGATTCTTTTTCTTTTTTTTTTAAGATTTTATTTATTTATTTTTTCCCCCCAAAGCCCCAGCAGATTGTTGTATGTCATAGTTGCACATCCCTCCCGTCGCTGCATGTGGGACGCGGCCTCAGCGTGGCCAGAGAAGCGGTGCATCGGTGTGCGCCGGGATCCGGCCCGGGGCCGCCAGCAGTGGAGCTCGCGCACTTAACCGCTAAGCCACCCGCGGGCCCATGATTAGATTCTTAAAATTAAACTCTTTATTGAGATAATTGTAGATTCATATGAAGTTATACGAAATAATACAGGGAAATCCTGTGTACTCTTTACCCATTTTCTCCCAATGGTAATATCTTGCAAAACTAATACAATGTCACAACCAGGATGTTGACATTGATATAGTCAAGATACAGAACATTTATTTCCATCACTTCTAGGATTCCTCATTTGCCCTTTTATAGCCACACCCACTCCCCTTCCTTAACCTCTGGCAACCACTAACTTGTTCTCCATTTCTCTAACTTTTTTTCTTTCAAGAATGCTATATAAATGGAATCATACAGTACATAACTTTTGGGATTCACTGTTTTCACTCAGCATAATCTTCTGGAGATTCATCCAGGTTGTTGTACCTTTTTATTGCAATAAAAGTGTGCAAAAAAGTGTGGATAAAATGAAACTATAATCATTTACCTGTTGAAAGATATTTGGGTTGTGTCCACTTTGGGAATATCACAAATAAAGCTGCTATAAATATTTGTATTCAGGTTTTTGTGTGAACATAAACCTTCGTTTCTCTGGAATAAATGCCCAGGAGTGCAATTGCTGGGTCACACGGCAGTTGCATGTTTAGTTTTAAAAGAAACTGCCAAATTGTTTTCCAGAGTGGCTGTACCACTTTACATTCCCACCAGCAATATATGAGTGACCCAGTTTCTCTGCATTCTCACCAGCATTTTTTGTTGTTACTATTTTTTATTTTAGATGTCCTGAAACGTATGTAGTGATACCTCATTGTGGTTTTTACATTGTGGTTTTAATTTGCATTTTCTTAGTAGCTAGTTATGTTGAACATCTTTTGCCATCTGTATATCCTCTTCATTGAAATGTCTGATCATGTCTTTTGCCCCATTTTCTAATTGGACTGCTTGGTGTTTTACTGAGATTTGAGAGTTCTTTATATATTCTAGATACTAGTCGTTTGTCTGATATGTAGTTTGCAAATATTTTCTCCCAGTTTATAGCTTGTCTCTTCATCCTCTTAACAGTGTTTTTTTGCAGAGCAAAAGTTCTTAATTTTGATGAAGACCAACTTAGTTTTTCCCTTTAAGGATGATGTTTTTGGAGTCAAGTCTAAGAACTCTTTACTTAGCCCTAGATCCTGAAAATTTTCTCCAGTGCTTTTTCTAAAAGTTTTATAGGTTTCCATTAAAGTCTGTGATGCATTTCGAGTTCATTTTTGTATAAGGTGTGAGACTTAGGTGGAGGTTCCCCCAGCCCCCCCTGCTGTGGATATCTAATTGCTCCAGCACCACGTGATTAGATCTTTACTTTTCAAAGCAGTAAAGTAATGGATGACCCCTTGGGTAAGAGTCTAGTTCTTTACCATGAGAAGAACCAATCCGAGCCTGACCCTGTTTCCCAAGGGATCTCTTATACTTCTCAGATACTCTTTGTGATACTCTACATACTATTTAAAGGCTTCAGTTTTTATCTTAAAATTTATTGGGTAAGGTATGGATATAACTTTATATTTTCTAGATGGATACACAGTTATCAATACCATTTATTGAATATTTTCCTCACTAATTTGAAATATCACCTTTTCCAATACTAAATTCTCATATTTATTTGGGATCTATTTCTGGACTTTACATTCTTTTCCATTGGTCTGTCTGTCCATTCATGCACTGGTACACACTTAAATTTTTAAAGCTTTATAATATTTTTTTAATAGAAGAGGCAGCCTCTTCCTTATTCTTCAGTGTGTTGGTTAAGTGGAGAGGCTCTGGAACCAGTCTACCTGAAATTAAATCCTGGCTTCTAGTTACTAGTTGTGTGACCTTGGGAAAGCTCCTTAAACCACTCTGGGCTTCAGTTTCTTCATCTATAAGAGTTGATAATAGTATCTACCTCAAAGGTTATTGCATTAAATGAGTGACATAGAGTAAGCACCAAATGAGTACACATTATCACTTTGCTTGTTTACCATTCTTCTTTTACCATATGAACTTTAAAATCCACTTGCGTATTTTCAACTTAAAAATTTATTGGTATTTTATTGAAACATTAAATTTATAAATTAATTTAGGGATAATAGACATCTTTATAAAATTGAGTTTCCCCATTGAAGAACATAGGATACCACTTTTCATCAGATTTGCAGACATACTTACCCACCACTCTTCCACTTGCACTGCAATCACCTTAGCCCAATCCATCATCTTCTGGCAGGCTTATTATCATAGCCCCAAGTGTCCCTGATTCAATCCTTGCTCCTCTATAGTCTGTTCACTTATACTGCAACCAGAGTGATCGTTTAAAGCTTAAGTCAGACTATGTCATTTCTCTGTGCAAAAGCTTCCAACAGCTTCTCATCTCACTCAGAATCAAAGCCTGGAAGAGAATTGGAAACAGCAAGACCAACTTTTAGTTTATGTGGAGGGGATGTGGCTTCAAGGGAGTTGTGTTTTGTTTGTATGCTGATGGGAGCTGATCTGAAAAACAGGAACGTGCTGAGGTTCAAGGGGCAAGTGCTGGAGAAATGTCCTTGCGTAGGCCTCTAGTCATGTTTCCCTGCATTTTCCTCAGAGCCTTCCCTTCTCAACAATCTAGAACACAAATCTAATGATGTCCAACTCTCCTGCTTAAAACTTATTAAAACTTATATTTTAATAATGCCTCACTACTTTGTGCATAACATTACAACTTAAACAGGCATACAAGATATTCTATTATTTGTTTTAAAATGTATGGAGCACCAAATATAAGCAGCACTGTGGTAGGTGCTGTTTATGGTTAAGAAAACAGGCATGGTCTCCACCCTCCTGGAACTTACGGTGTAGCTGGAAAGACAAACAAGTGAAAAATAAGCTTGGGAGGTTTGCTATGAAATACGAAATACCAGGCAGTATTTAGATGCTGCTGGGAATGATTCAGGAGAAGGAGACCAATAATGTAGTAGAGATACTAACAAAAGAACTAAAGGCCTTGAGAAATGAGAGGGGATGATGGGTTCCCCTCATAATGACGTGGAGTGATTGAGTTTTGGTAAGAGGAATCCTTCAGTTATAACTGGAGAGAAAGGTTGAGTGCTGAAGCAGGGAGATTTATGGATTTGATGATGGGAAGATGAATTCCATCATCTGATGGTTTCTCAATGAAATATGAGGCAGTCATCAGTTGGATAGAGAGGGGAGAGAATATATTAACCGGTCGTCTCAGAGCAATAATATGAAGTCATACTTCTTGTTGCCTATTTCTCAATTCCTAAAGCTCCTTAGTTGTTATTTCACATTTCTGAGGTTTTTATTTAGTTTCATTACTTTCTGGCAAATTCCTACTTGTTCTTCCAGCTCCATCTGGGCCACCATCTTTTGTGCCACCACACCATTATTATAACGCACTGATGTTTGTTTTTGCTCCCCTGCTAGACTAGTAAGCTTTCTGAAAAGCTTGGTCTGTGTCCCTAATGTGGGGCCCATACAGAACATTTAAGTAAGGATTTTCAATAAATGTTTAACAAACATT